CCCCCCCCCCCCCCAGGCCAGCCACCCAGGTGTCAACTGTCTGACCCTCCCTGTCCTGCCTTTTGTTCAGTCTACTCAGCAGTGGACAACACTCCATAAAATCCATAATCCATCAATGTCCCCCGCTTGTACATTCTGGGAAGTCATTTTAGCCGACTGGAGTGTGGCGCTCACCAGCAATAGCAGACTGAACTGTAGTGATGCCGACAGACAAAGAGTAGAAAAAAACAAATCCTCCATCTAATGACTACAATATAAAGTATGTAAGTGCGTGGTATAAGTAAACGTAGCCGTTATGTGTGCTTTATGTATACTCACCACCTCTGTAGAAGTCTCTGCATGTTCGGAGGTGACATGCTCCTGTAGGGACGTCTCTGTGTAGCCCATCTTGCCACAGTAAGGACATGTGAAGGACTGGGGTTGCTCTACTGAAAACGTGTCTCCTCCATAATACAAGTCTGCAAAACAAAAGGACAGTTAACAGAGCAAATGTTACCGTTTTTAATCAATATTCAGGTTTCTGTCTCTGGGCCTTCAGGCAGCTGCTTACCGTAGTCTACCCTGGTTAATATACACTGCATGGGGTGCTCTGTGGTGTGTCGTGTTGTCGTGGCTCCGCTCTCGTAGCACGATGCACACAGGTCGTAGTCGTAGCAAATTAAACACTTGAACCGTCTTCCTCTAAAGTTCCCTTTCAAACATGCATCACAGCTCACACCTGCAAAAGAGGAATGTAGTAAAATCAAATTTGTGGGAAACTGACAATAAAGTTACAAATTCCTGAATAACTGCTTCTGCAAGACCGACGGTGATAAAGCAAATCTCTATCTGCAGGCCAGTCTCAATTACATGAGCATGTGATTTGGAGTGGCACCAACCCACAAGTGCCAGCCATGAAGAACTCTGGCATTCCAGTGAACTTCACATGCAAGGTCTCAAAAGGCACAACTCAAGAGGCATGGCACACGGTGTTAAGCATCTGAAAGCTGTTTTACATCACAGCTTTTGTTACTTATTTATAGAGCTGTCCACACAGAAATATTTATTTTTATATATTTATCTAGATCTACATGAACCAAATCGGTAAAGAGCAAGTAAAGTGGAACCAACCAAGACAGCAGACATAGTGTCAGCCATTTCTATATCTTTTCACAAATCATCATCATATCAAATAGTATATACTTGTCCACTCTTTACTATGTGATTACAAGTGAAGAACTATTCAAGCACTGGCTCACTACTCTGCAGACACAACCAGTTATTTTCTATGACACATCATAGGTACCGTTACACACAATATCCCAACTCCTGCCTTGCTGAAAATTCCTTTGAAGGGGAAAAAAAAAAAAACACACCTTATTTAGCAAACTTGGATTGTAGGTATGCAAGTATTGTGAATACTCCCTTTGTTGAGACTGATCTGACGCCTTGCAACAAAAAGCGTAAAAACATAAATAGAAAAACTCCACATTTATAGACCAAACTCATGCATGAATAAATAAATAAACTGGCAATGTGCACATACCACCTGCACAACAGCAGGTTTTGCAGACGCTGACAAAAACAGAAAAATTGGTGCCACCTAAGTGGCAATAAAAGCTGCGCCTTCCTCCACTTGCACACGGGATTTTCACTACCTTAAAGACAACAGAATGCACTCACCTCAAAGGCTATAGCCTGACCACAAGGGGGCAATTTTAACGCCTACAAAGTAGCCTGACGTTACCTTTATTGTCCTAACACTTTATTCAAGATAAAGCAAGTTACTTAAGCAATACCTCTGCATTTATTTGGGCTGTCTCGTGTTTGCGTTGCAGATTAAACAGGATGGCAGGCCTGCTACAACTAAAATGATGTGAAGAATGGAGAAAGACGAATTTGCCCTCTCATGTGCTTTACAGTTAAAACATACAGTAACTTAACCCTAGCTAGCTAGTAGCCTGCCAGCTAGCTAGCTTAGTGATTGGTTTGTGGTCTGAGGTCTGAGGCCTCAGACTTCCTTCTTGATGACAGTGCAGACGGGACAGTGTTGCGCTAACATTAGAGCTACGGGCTCTTAAATCAACACATAACCTATATCAAGGAAGCAGAGGATCAGTGCCGCTAACATGGGACATCTAACACAACTAACAGGGGTTTTGGGAGCCAGTAAAAGCAGCATTAAGTCGCAGCTACACCGACGCCTCCTTGTGTTAGCACACATTAGCTCGCTAGCCCAGCTAATGCAAGGTAACGCAGCACCTACTAACGACTAAGCTCCGCAATGTTGCCGTATCATTGCGTGCGGGTTAAGAGACGTTACAACAGTTTACTTCACATGTAAAATATACGCGATATAAAGGTGAGCCAGAGCTCAACGTGTGTGTTGAGACCAGCCCGAAAACAAGCCGCGGAAAGCGCTACAGCAGCCCCCCCTTTGACTTGAATAAGCACTTAGCAAAGCTAGCCGCGGAGCTAGCTGCTCAGGTAAAGTAGTGCGCTGTGGACGTGTTTATCAACTCACCCTCATGTCGGGACATCCTACAAACAGCGGCACAGCCCCTCCTCGGGCTCCCCAGCGCGGTTAACGAGGGCCGATACAGTATTTTAGAGACTAAACTGAAGAAAAGCCTTCACCCTCGCTTCTTTTTCTAGCAAGATGGATCCGCCAGCAGCTTACAGTTTGTTCTGCTTCCCCTCCCAGAGTGTCACTTATCGCGGAGTGTTGCGGGGTGACCAGTAGGCGGCGCACTCCTACATGAAATCTGAAATCACTCCACCAGTGGTGGACGAAGTATTGGGATTAACAGCAGATAGCAAACAGTAGCATATACATTTTATTTTATAAATTAAATTTGTATTCCTTCACATACTTAAATATATATATATATATATATACATTTGACAACAATAATAAAGCATAATGTTCTATATCCCTCTAAGAAGGTAAATGAATGCTTAACATAAAGTAATCATAGTAAATCAACTTTTCCAATGTGTACTTTTTCTGCTCCAAGTTCCCAATTCCTCTAATAACTAATCAACTGTCTTATTTTTCAAATAGACAAGAGGGCCCTACATTGTGTCTTTTCTTCTCTTGAACCTTTCAGCAATGAATACTTTGAACTGTGAATGTATGTGTTATATTATTATAAGTTATTGTATAAGTAGCATTATAATGTTGTAGTGGTGGGGGTTATTCTTCAAAGTAACTATAGATGTCGAATTAATATAGTGGAGTAAAAGTCCAATATTTGTAATGTATGTAAATTCTGAAGTACAAATAGGCAAAACTACATTTTCCTTCATTAATGACCCAAATGATTACTTGATTATCAAAATTGTTCTGTTGACTCACTAATTGATTAATACGCTAATCATTTCAGCAGTAATACTCACTGTCAGCTCATGTATTTCAAGAGAGAAAATGTAAACCAGTTACTGTTTTCATGCAAGGATGATTATCAGGAGGGAGAGATGCGTAGGCTGCAGTGATTTATTTGAATGGACAGAACTAAAAGCCGCAACTTTAACATGTTGATAAAAAAAGAGCTTACAAATGTTATTTATATTATTGTCTGAACAAAAGCAGAAGAACTTATGATCAAGCACTTTTTTTTCATAAAAAGTCTTTATTTGTATTCAGATTCAGTTTATTTCTGTGCTGATGAGGACGCGTATGGTCTGACAAACCAGTGCATTACAATGAAGACTTCACAGCAGTGTAGAAGGCTGGGGTGGAGCTCACGACTATCACTTTGTCCTTTACTCCCTCTCAGAAGTTAATAGAGGTGTAGGATGTGTAAAAAAACAATCCCAGACTACCTCAAGTGGACAAAGAGAGACTCGTGACTCCGCCCTCGTGCATAAGCCTGATGTAGCCAAACAACAGTAACACATTCTGTACATACAATTTATTACATGTGCTTCATGTCAACAGTGGAGAGTGCGAGCTGAGGAGTATTTCATATCAAAAAGCCGCCTCTTCTTCTTCTCGGCCGTCTTCCCACAGCTGTATTGTATGACAGCGAGGGAGGAAGTCGAGAAAGAGGCAGAAACGCAGTCTCCCCAAAATACAATATCATTTATTTGAACACGTTGTGTAGCTGGAAACAAAAACAAGACAGAAAACCTGAAAGAATAACTTTGTAAAGTACGGTGTACCACGTATGGGGTAACATTGAGCCTTTGTATGTGAATGCTTTTGTGTACATGTTGGAGCTTGTCTACACTACAATCCAACGACCAGTAAATCCCATTTACCGAATGGCGACTGCTGGTGACATATGTTTCTGCATTAAAGGAAATTCTACCTTCCATTTTGCAAATGAAAAAGGTTGAAACCAAAATATGCTACAGTCGTATCTCACCTCAACACAGCCATTCACCAGGCTTTCAATCAAATTAAACCAAAGTAGTGGATACAAACCCTCATCTTCAGTTCAGAGTAATTATACCTTCATTTTCTCATCAAAATAGAACAATATTTACATATTTGCATCAGCTTTTATATTGGTGAGATCGGCCAGATAATTTTCTTTTAAGTCAAATGTTAATGTGGTCATTCATGATAGTTGTAGCACCTGAGCAAAGTCGTCTTCTCTGACCACTGATCACACGCACACAAAAAAAAAAGATTTATGGCTAACATCTCTTAAATTACATGAATTATAGCAAACACAATTATATACATTTATAAGCTTTACATTTTTGGGCATCTACTTATATTTACAGTACAATCAAAGTTTTGGATTTTGAAGGCACAGCTGTCTGTATCTCTCAGTGACACTAACTACAAACATTTAACATCGGAGTTGGGGCGAGGTTTTTTTTTTGCTTGTTTTGGTTAAACTAAGAATAAATGTATAAAAAAATAAAAGCATATAGACTGCACTTTTGCTTCAAATAAATCTGGTGTACAGGTCAGTGTCTTTAGTCAACATTTTGAGATTAAGGATGTGCCACTTTATGTTGTTAAAATTCCGCAAAAACACCAAACAAACACAGAATTCTATAAAATGCTAAAAGGTACAGTGTTTCATAAAGCTATCAGACAGGCTGCTCCAACATATGTAAGAAGTAAAAAGACCTTTGGATCGTCATACAGAAAAACCTGAGTACTTTTTTCCTCTAAAGCTGGAGTGCATCTATTGTAGCTCTTATGTTTTTGTAAAACCGCTGTATGTAATACAGATATATGCTACTTTGCCAACAGATGCCTGATAAGTGATGGTTTCTTCCTCGCTCCTCTTCTTGAACTGCTTGAGTATACTGTATACCCACCACATAAAAAGCTGATCTTGAGCAAATAGTGTTTGCAAATACTACAAATACAGTGAGTGGCATTGACTTTATACAATTATAAGAGAGTGTCTGTCTCAGCACTCTCTGTGGATGAGACCGTCTGAAAAGCCCCGGTTTTGGAACCTCGTGCTCAAGGCATCAAAGGACAAGGGCTGGGAAGTATTTGCAAACATTATTGGAGCCAGGCCTGCACAGGAAACAGTGAATGGTAAGCAGTCGTAGCACCGAGGTGCCTGTGGGTCTTGTGGCATCTCCTCCGTCTGTCCGACTGTCTGTTTAAAAGTCTGCCTGTCACTTTGTGCGACCTGACGGTTCTGGAAGCGGTTGGTCACGGAGCTGCTTGCTGCTGGATGTCTGGATATCTCAGTCCATCATTTCCTCCTTTGAGTAGTCCCTGGATTTTCTCTTGAAGAAGCCCATCTGGAGGATCACAAAAGTCAAGTTACAAAACAATAACTCTGTACAGATGTGGAGGTTCTATAGTAAAGGACTACTTCAGCATTTTTGGGAAATATACTTATTCCCTTTCTTTTTGAGAGTTACTTTAGATGAAAAGATCAATCTCTAAATATTGTTATGTATGATTACACCACAAATTGTATTTTTAACATTTCGTTTTTTGCTCGGATTTAAGAAAACGAGATGTAAAGTGTTAATTAGTGAGCGTTAGATGTCCTGGTAGGTAGATTTTCTTTGCTTTTGGACAGAGCCAGGCTAGCGGTTTCCCTCTATTTCCAGTGTATACAAAGCTAAACACTCCTGTAGTTTCATATTTAACATGCAGACAACAAAGTGGTATCGATCTTCTCATATATCTGTCGGTAAGAATTCAAAGGACCTTACTTCCCTTCCTTTAATGTTTAACCACTCCTTTAAAGTCGTGGTACATACGTGGTTCATATTCTATTGGCAATATATTACAAGGTATTTGAAGATACTCTGCAGTCTGTATATGTATATGCATATGTTACCTTCCAGAGAGCGAAGATGACGAGTGCTAAGATCAGCAGTCCTATTAGGATGCTGATGATGATGATCCAAATAGGGATTCCTCCTAAAGTCTCCTTCGAAACCTGGATCTTCACCTGATTGGCACACAGGTACAGAGAGTAAATGTACACACACGTGCAAACACACAAGCATTCAATGACAATACAAGCGCACAATAAAACCAATTTAAAAAACTTGATCACTTACACTTCTGGTCCTGTCACTGCTCAGTTGAAACAGGTTTGTGTTTTTGATCCCCAGCGTGGCGTTCACCAACATGTACAGACTGGAGAACTCGCCCTGTAAGATAAATCTCCTTTAAGTGTTTCCTGTCTATCCATCTGTCAGATCGCTTTTAGTCACTCGGCCTCCCAGTTCTTCACTTAGACAAAAATAAGCAGCCACGTGTCACATTAACCTACCTTGATGAACGTGGGTTTCCACACTCTGAATGTAACGTTGACCTGACTGATCGTAGCCTCGGGGATGGAGCAGCTAAATGATGCGCAGTCGAGGTTTTCACAGCTCTGTAGAGCAAATCAAACACATACGGTAAGACAGGAAGGACACACACACACACACACACACACACACACACACACACACACACACAGAAGTGGCTCAGAACAGAAGGTCTTATTGTGTTTTGAATAAGCCAAACAATTCAAACCAGGATTCATATGTGTCATAAAGCCAACTCCGAGCTAATGAGAGTAGTCAGGTCTGGTTGATCTTTTATTTATTTTGTGTTGTTCAAAGTATATTTACTTTAAAATATCAACCACAACCTTACTTTGTATAATAAGACCTGAAAATACATGTTAACGTGTGAGACACAACATATCTTTAAACAACTTTGAAACATTAAATAGGACTCCAGCCAGCGTAGTTTACGCCTACATTTGATAAATTTGACGTGTACTATAAACTGACCCATGTTCACCTTAGGGAGAAACAATGTGTTTCAGTCTGGCAGATTAATTGCATCACTGGTTAAGCCTGAGTTGAGGCTACGCCTGAAAACTAACCTGAACAGGAACGGGTTAGTGCGGAGGGATTAGTTTCCACGGTAGCTTAGGTCAGGCTTACTTAAACATCCTTATAAAACAGAATTTCCTGAAATAAGCCTGGTTTCACTGGTAATCTGTCTTTGGAAAATAAACCCACAAAGAGGCTCATCACTCACCAGCAGGAAGACACTGAGAGTTTCTTTCTTTGGATTTGGATTTATAACTTCCGGGTTAATATTCTTGGGGTTGATCCAAGGTGCTGCGTCACATTTCACCTGGAGAGAAAGGAGAGGCAGATATGAAATTGGGTCCATCTGTTCAGATCCACTTGCATGTCCACATGTGTGTGTGTACTCATACCTGTGGGCTGGTGGTGACGTGTGTCAGGTACAGTAAGTTGTTCTGCCGAGGAGACAGGCGAGGATACATCACTGTAAGCTCGACTGGTGGAGACACCATATCACTTGACTTCTCCACCTGAGGAGAAGCGAGATGGAGAGGCGGAGTGAAGAAGAGAAGCGGCCTCCGTTTTACTAATATTGTACCTTATCTGGATTCCCAAACAAACCCCATCTGCATATGATCTCTGTTACCGTGTAGCTGATGTTGACCTCCTCTCCGATCACGCTGGTGTCATTGAATACAGTAGAATACTGTTCACCCTCTTTTACAATGATGTGTTCATCCCCAGGCCGCCTAAAAAAATAAATTCAAACGCATATTAGGTTTTTTCTGTTCTGAATAACAGCTTCAGACACAGACAGATGCTTATACATTTAATATGAAATGTAGATACCATGAAACCCAAAGCAGAACACTGACATAATATCATCTTAAAAAGTGTATATGTTGCAAACAGTATATTTACACATCCAGCAGATACAGAGCAACATTATCATACATTTGGGATCATGTTTGTGTCCTGTTCCATATTCGCTCTCTTTTAACTCTGATTTTGGCCTCCACCAGCTCCTGGGGGAAATATCTGTCTCTTTAGCTTCTAAAAGCTCCACTATGTCCACCAGCTAGTCTCTGAATATGTCTGTCTGCTGTTTGGTGTTGGGCAGGTAGTTTACAGTGGATTTTCTGCAATTAAAAAAGCTGCCTGCTGTGGCTGAAAATAACACTGACGAGGGTGGTGACAGGACGTCTTGTGATCCATTGTTAATATATCATTGTATAGTGGTACCAAAATGACTTTATTTTTGACGTTTTGATTTGTTAAACAAAGGTGTAATGACGGCATGTCATTAACATGAATAGAACACGTCAAAATGTCCACCACGACAGGACTATAGAGACCATTATTGCATCCTCTGTTTGTAGTATTAGTATTCATGATCATTAAGGAGTGCAGCCACTCACACGGAGAATATCAGGCCAGCTTCATATTTCACAGGGATGGAGATTTGCACCGTGTTGTCATGCATTGTTGAAGCCAGCTCTTCACTGTCACTGGGGGAAAAGAAATGAAAAGTTGTACAATTCCAATTTGTACAATTTTTTTAAGACAAACAGCTTCAAACTGGAAATAAAAAATGCCGTGCTGATTCTCTCACCTTGTAGCTGTCACATTGATCTGAATTACCTCCTGGATATGTTTGGGATTTACCTCAAATTTCACTTTGAAGTTTTCCTGTGGATCACATCACAAAGATAGACAAAAAGTGATACATCGCACAGGTAGTATGTAGGCTGATGAATGTATTATATGCCGATACTAACCTCTACATTACTTCCCAAGAAGGGGTATCCAACAGCACACTCCACATTTGTGTGATTCAGAGTGCATTCTTTCTCTGTCTGAAAACACAAAACAAAACAAACATCATGACACACTTTTCAATCCATATACACTTAAATGGTGCAAACAGAGGAGTATTAGAAATCTCACCTCTACTTTAACATAGTTGATGTTCGGTGTGAAGCTGAGGATAACTTTAGTGTTGTACGCATTGTCCTTGCTGTTTCTAATGTTGATGTTCACATCAATCTTGTCTTTGTTGGCTTTGATCACCATTCTGGAGAAGTAAATGAAAACTGTCAGCATGCTTGTCTGTGATGCACAAATCTCCCCACAAGGGTGCAGTCATGCACTGGAAGGAGTTGCTGCTAATAAGGTCTAATAACTATGTAAACTGTGTTATGAGACACTGTGACTTAGAGACAGTACATGACATGACTTCAGTATACAACAGTTACATAACAACGAGAGGAAAACTTACAATGACCAATCATTCATAAATGTACATACGCTAGTATTGTTTTGAGACAGATTTGAAAAAGTGTGAACATATTCTTTAACGCTAATTCCGCTTACCTTTTGACACTAGGCTCTGCTTTGAGAGAGAGGTCAGCAATGCACTTCTCATCGCTTCCACAGTCAACTAGAGGAATCTACGAGATAGAGACGAACATTTTCAAGTTCTCCTCCAGTGAATAAAAATGTTTTATTGTTACTTTATTTGGATGTCTGAGTTCACTGTAGATTCGTATATGTGCAGAGTTTTACACTAGAAGCCAAATTGTCTCTTTGATCACCTAAATTCAGAGTTTAAGATGCATATGTACGAGCACAATTTTGTGATGTTACAACTAGTTTGGAGCCCAATCATGGTCCGATATGCAACTTACAACTTACTCCAGCGTACAGATGAAAAGGACTAGGAGAAGCAGGAATTAAATTTGTAAGATTCTTTTAACCAGTTATTCATTCCCTTTCCCTTTTCCCCACAGAGCGTTTGAGGGTCACAGTCAAATTTGTTCCCACTCTCAATGCTCTCCCACTGGACTCTTAAGATCAACAGCGTCCACCCTCCCGAGAAAGGACGAGAGAATATCATATGCAGCACAATGTCAAAAGAAAAACTTCCGTTTGATGACTTCCCCTTTCTGTGTCCCTTCTCTTCCTTTCAATAACAATAACAGGAGAGGTCCTGAGGTCCTAATAGCGCTTCCTCGCTTGTGGGAGTGCAGCGTGCATTGCTGCTGTGACAGTATCTGACGCTGAGGATGTGTCAAGGCTCATAAACACATCACATATGGTCCTGTGTTTAGAAGCGAGGAGGGGTTTGGCTTTCATTTCCTTCTTTGTTACGGGCTGAATTCTCATGTAATATTTCCCCTCTTTATCTGGACACATCACTCATGGCATCACTTATCTGGAGACCCTCTTGTTAGAACAACTATGCATGTGGGAGTGTGGGAAGACTGCCCTAATTTTTGGTGTTGAAACACTAACGCAGTTTTCGGGAAACACTGAAGGATGGCAGTCAGCTGTTGCAGATGTTAATGTGGCGTAACAGCAGCGAGTTTGGAGCCAGACAAGAACACCCCACTTCTCATTCTCAGATTATAAAGACAGACAGATGTTTAAGACCAGGTTCAAATCCTTCCTGTCTGTGACTCAAAGGTTTCTGCTTACTGTTATTTGGCAGTTCATCCTTAAAGTGCTGAGAGAGACTCTAACAAGTGATATGAAATACTGTCTTACTGTCTTATTGATGGATCTGGGAAGGTTTTCATCCAGAACGGGGCCTTGGTCTTCATCAGCAAGTCCAAACTCCAAAGACACCATGAGAGGGTCTCGGAAGTCCAGCCGGGCCTGAGAAAGGGGAGAAGTGGAGCAGGACAGAGGATGGTGAGGAGAAGGGAACAAAAGTATAAAACATGTAAACATGTTTTTGGCTGATTAGATCCTTCATCAGGACTTTGTGGGGTTTGTTCAGGCTATGCCTGATCGACGGCTCCCTGACTCTTGTTTGTACTTAGTCATATCATTCAGACTGAAAGGATGAGCAACAAGAAGTAATCCAGAGTTAGGTATTTCAGACAGCGATGATGGTGGTGCTAGATGAAAAGGTATTACAAATCATCCTTAGCGGGACATGGATGCCTATAACAAAACTCATCCAATAGTTGTTTCACCCAAAACCCCAAAGGTTAAGCTCTTGGTGGCACTAGAGGAAAGGTCAGAGGATCACCAAAGTCAGTATGCGTCATCCTCTGGGCACCATGAATGTCTGTACAAACATTCATGGAAATCCATTAAATAGTTGCTGAAATATATAATTCTGGACCAAAAGGGTGGACCAACACGCCGACATGACCTTAGAGGTCTAATCAACCAGAATAACTGGAATAACCTGTGTGAGGGTGCAGGGCCTTTAAATTACTGAAACATGAAGACAACACATGAAGGAACAGCTTCACATTGCAGTATGGCATGGACTGTACAGACATGGTAGGTTAAATATGAGTCTTTCTTGACCCTGTGCCAAATTTTGATTAAACCTGAGAAGTATAGCATAAGGAACACATGCTGCGTCTTTAGTCAGGCACATTACTGACTTGGACCTAGATACTGTAACAGAAATGAGGCATTAGCCACACCCTGAGTATGAAGCACTTTTTGGACATGGATTCTTTAAAGATACATCTGCTTTCAGTTCATCCAGTTCATCTGGTCCGTCTTGGACTTAAGTAGTTGCGGTACAAATCTTCTGACCCTTGTGAACTTCTCTGCGCTGGACTATGTGGGAAGTTTGTGCACAAACTGGCACACCAGAACAGAGCAGGTATTCATGCTCGGCACACAGCAATAACAGCTGTTTCAACTGATTAGTTCCTCCTTCTCTCGCCTAGAAATCCATTGCTGCAGTGAACGGCTGGAACGAGAAACTTTGTACGCATGGCTTTAAATGTCACATTGCGACAGTAGGTGGTGTAGCTGTAACATAGTAAAGGTTTCAACTGTGATGATCAGTCTGTGATGTGTTTGTTAGGCCATTTGTAGAAATCTCCCCCGACTTTGAAAGTCACTGTCACATTTTTCATTCTCTCTTTGTTTTGTCTTCTTCTCTCCTCATCTCTTCAACTCTCCGAGTGCCTACAGATAATTAATAACTCGGAGCAGCAAGCGGCTGTACTCGGCATGCTTTGATCAGGACGAGTCTGTTTCGTGTTATGACCAAGGTCTTCTCCGCATGAGCCTTCTCACAGCTTTGTCCTGTCTCCTTTCTGGCTCAAAACACAATTTAGATCCCCACAACAAGCCTAGAATATAACTTTCATGAATGAAAGTCACAGAACTTGTATTCATTCAGTTGATCTAAGGACTCTGTCTTGTGGAAACAGGGTTAAAAAATATAGTTTTGGGGTTGATTTCGTACAGGTAAGAAACCACAACTAACCCCATGTGTACATCATAAAGATAAGAGTACTTGCCGACATGATGAAGGTTTCGTTCACACATTTTCTCTCTTTGTCTTTGATGGTGAGGTTCCTGGTAATCCTGCGATCACTTTTATCTTCCGAGTCAATAAATGAAGCCCTGGCTTTCGGACGCAGAGCGTCCAAAAACAGATCGTAGCGGATGTCTGCAGCACACGACACAAAAGGAAACATGTAGTAATGACACACAACAACTTTGACAGTGAGGAGGGCTAGAGATGAAATAATAGGATGCCGAATGGCTCACCAGCAGTAGCGTTTAAGTCCTGCTTGTCAGATTTGATGCCGTAGACAAAACACACCTCCGTCGTCACACACACAGATTTGCATGTGCCACGCTCACACTGATAATGAGTCTGCTGCAGGTTGATTTTAACAGGGTCAAAAGTCATGTTGGCACGGAGCTCTGCAACATCTCTGGACCTGGTGAAATGAGACAGACATGCCAACTTCTAGAAAACATAATTGTAGTTGTTTTTGGGGCAGTGTGTGAGTGTGTGTGTGTGTGTGCGTGTGTGTGCTGAACTGTGCGCAAGTTTCTTGTAAGGAACAAGAAACGGATGCATCTTGAGAGCAAAACTTGGCCTCAACTCTCTCTATTCAACCATGGGGCTTTCTAAAACCCCGGCCAACAGTCCAGGAAGAACAGCCGCCTGCTGCCAAATCCTATTTAAACTCTAAGCCACTTGGGAGATGGAGTTTTCACACAGCTTAGCTGAGCCTCTGCCAGTAGAAACTGTGGGAGAAGGTCTGCTTGGGAAGCTAAATCATAGTGCGGGCTGATGTTTTAAAACTTTGCGGGTTAGTCCAACAGCCAGGAGTTGTAACAGAGAGATCATTAGGAAGTTGTTGTTCTCAAGCCCACAAACCCAGTGGGACACGCGCAGCTGTCTAAACCCGCAGAAGACAGCGCTAAACGAACATGTAAGATAAAGTCTCCGGGATACGGGCACTGCTGCTGGTAATGATTCAGGTGGAATGTGTAGTTTTGGGAGTGAATGTGTGAGGATGAGCCGTGACTCACCAGAATAGTGAAGCCCCTCCCAGACCTCCTATGGTAACATCAGTGATTCCATCGCCATTAAGATCCATGACTCCGTGTATGGACTGACCAAAGAATTTCACCTTTTTACCGTCCCCACCTGCAGGGATATGCTGCAGAGAAAAACACAAGACCAATTAGTTTACATTAAAGGAGAATTCCGGGATATATTTCAACCTGGCATATTTCCCAAAAGTTATTGTGGCTCTATGGGTAACTTTGCACTTGCCACCTTTGTTGTAAAGCCCCCTAAAGCCTTCCAAACTAACATGACGTTTGGGAAATAAGGCTGGGTTGAAATATAACAGCATTTCCCTTTCAACTAAATAAACACTTACAAGTATTTTGGTATCAACTGTTCAGGCACTGTCACTGTTCTCACCTGTACGAATTTCTCTTTCAGTGACGTCTTATCTCCATGATAGATGTAGACGGCCCCTCGGTGGTCGTTCTCAAAAGGTGCACCGATGGCCACGTCGTTAAACCCGTCCAGGTTGAGGTCTGATACTGCAGCAATGGCCGTACCAAAGCGGGCACCGCATGGTTCATTCTTATTGGTGCAGCTGGCAGAGTGGGAAGTACAACAGGACTGATTGACAGGCTTTAAAGTGAACTCGTGCTTAAACTGGCCGTCCTGGAAATAGAGCAGAGACAAAAAAAAAACCATCACAATCTGACAGAAGCTCTGTCAATCATAGACACACACCTAATTCTTTTTTAATTAACCTTCTGTACCTGGTCGAGTTTGTAGACGTAGACTTGTCCCTGCTCGTCTCTTTCCGTGCCCATATACATTGGAGCTCCGACCAAGAGGAGATCCGTGTAGGAATCTCCATCCACGTCGACAGTCTGCAGGACGCTGCCAAAGTAGGAACCAATCTGCAAAACAAAACAACATTGGACAATGATAATTCAGAAAACAGACGTTTCTGTGTTTTGCACTTCAGGGCCACCAACGTTTTTTTTTACCACTAAGCCACTGTAACGTGTACATTTTTCTTTGGGGATTAGTACAGTCTTATCTTATTTAAAGTCGGCTTGAAGAAAGATGTCTTCTCTGTAAAACAAACACAGAGGGACGAAAGCCACCCCAGGCACCAAACTGAAATAGACTCACCTGTTGTCCTTTCAGTATCTGTGAGACGATGATGTTGTTCTTTTCATTCAGACGATAGATAACAACCCGGCCTGTGTGGTTGTACCGCGGTGCCCCTGTGATGTACAGCACTCCATCAGGGGTGGAGGCTGACTGAACATCATAGCCTGCAGAGAGACATGTGCATGCACAAGTACACAATGTATTCAATTCAGTGCGTTCTTTACATAAACATGCATCAACAGGAATGTGTCAAACCGCACTTAACAACATCAGGAGAAAAACAACTATGGATCTCTTTGAAGGGTATTTTTAAATGCTTCTTCTGCCAACTGTTTACATCTCATTGTGAGGAGGAAACTATAAAACACTCTTTCGAAACTGGCAGGAACACACACACAAGCACACGCACTCACAGACAAGCACACGCACACAGGCTACGTATGCAAAGTCTGCAGTCAGACCATTAGGTATGAGCGTGTGCCAACAGCTGAGTTTACAGTACGCGAGCCTGGACCCACCAGTGCTCTTTCTAATGACATGTTGATTAAATAACTTAATATTAAGATGCTGTGGTTGCTCTTAGAGCCATATAAGGCAGCAGGACGAGAGGAGCAGAAGAGAAAAGGCATGCATTTATTATTTATGGGACAAAGAGATAGACAGCATCTTACTCCTCTATGTAACAGAAACTATATTTATTCTGCAGCTGTGAAAATTCACCAAATCTCAAGAAAGATCTAGTTTATCTCTCTCTCTGTGTAACACAAAGACACTCAGATAGAGTTGTTCTTGGACGTCTAAAAACTGTATTCCTGTATATTATTCAGCTTATTAACAGGTGTATGTTTTTGTATTTTTTGCGGGAACACACATGCAGAAGAAACACGAATGGCACAGCGCAGAAGCAAACCTGGAATCTACAAAACTATTTTTTAGCTAATTTCGTTTAAGTGACTGGGTGCTATCTTTGAGTCCGGTATCCAGCTGATTAAGACAATACGTCTTAGGGCCTTCAAGACATAATGACTGAACTCACCGAGGTACCCAGCGAGTCCTTCGTACCCGGCCTCAGTCTCTGGGTCGTAGAACTCGGTCTTCCCCGGAATGATCGTTCCTCCAGCAGTATGCATGACCACTGTCCCGTTCCAGTCAAACGCTCCCACTGCTCCCAGCATCAGGCCGTCCTACGAGAGACAACAGGGCTGATGTCAGGAGCAGTCGGATATGAGATCAAAAGAGTTAAAACGATTTCTGTTAGTGAGTGGTGTACAAAATATTTGTATCATCTTTACTGTGGTCTAAAGTAAACAGTGGTGGCCAAAATAGTATAACTAGTCCAGAAACATTTATTCACGTATCTAATCAAAAGAAAATCAAACCACTAACTATTTTGAAAATGTATAAATTGATATTTAAGGAAAACGTACAAACTTCCAGTGGTTCCAGCTTGTTAAATGTTTCTGCTTTTCTCTGTTATATCATTGTAAATTAAACGTGTAATAATTCTGAGAAAAAAATATCTGGCGGTCTGGGATACCGTGATAAGCATTTTCACAATTTTACTTGTGAAATAGTTAACTCATTCATCAAAGATTGACATGTCAATCAATAATGTAACCTCTTGAAAATATAGACACACGTAAATAACCTGGATAAAATAAAATATAGTAGAATACATCACAAAGCAGAAAACTAAAAAATGTACTTCAATCAATCTTTTTGATTGTATCTACAGGATACAGAGTTCATTAATAGGAAAGGGAGGGGTGACAGGACGTTATGTATCATTAGTCACAATGAAAGTCTTCAAGAGCCTCTTTCCCGCTACTGAGCCTTAAAGCGAGGCCTCCTGTGTTTAACAATGACTCAATCTGGTTGTGTCTGGTTGAATGAGCCACTGCAGCCACTGAGACAGTGTACACAATGATCGAAGAGGTGACAAATGTGAGTCAGGAGCAGGAAGAGAGGCTTAAGAAGCTAGTTTGTTTATAAATAGATGTAGGAACCATCTAATGAATGAACTCCAAAGGCATGTGAAGGGGCAAACGCAAGCACGTTGTTCTTAAGAGTAGTGAACAAACATCTGATTCAACCTCCCCCGCTGTCTCTAATACTGAAAATGCCTCGTGCTTGCCTTTCAATCCCCTTCTAACTGTCTCGCACATGCTCTCATGCAATCAGACCAAACACGACCAGCCTGAAGTCTGCAGCCGTGTGACGACAGAGAGCGCCTGTGTCTGAAAACTTCCACTGACCCAGTGAATCACCGAAGGGTTGAAGATGCACTGGAGATAACACTGGGGCTTTGTGTCTGGACTAGTTCATTAGTTGAGCAAACATCCATGCCAACGCATTCACTTCCCCGCAAGCACATAAAATAAACAGTTCTTTCTAAAACGAAACGCCTACAGACATCTAAACTTATATGATGCACTTGTCTGTCATTGGTTCTGGTTCGGTGATTCTACAGTAGGTCACTGACTTTTACTTATATGGTATTTGTGTATTTATCTGACATAAATAAATGGATTTAGACTTACTTTGGAAGAATGTGCACTGAACCCAGCTTGGGACATCTCCATCTCAAAGGAGGAGGTGAAATTGCCGGTTGTAGCTGAGGATGAAAAAGTTCATTTTAACCTTTATATATTAAAATAAACAGCACATAATACAATGTTGTTAGTATCTCCTAGTCACATTCCTATTAATTGTTGGATCGAGAGAGTTTAATATAAATGGTGTCCTCTTTAAAAGAATAATTCAACTTAGCTTTGTGTTTACCGTACTGACATGAAGGTGGTGTTAATCTTCTCATCTACAGCACAATTCATTTTATTGATTTTTTTAAAATACATTGAATACAGAAGCAGACTAGCTGTTTCCCTTGTTTTAACTATTTGTGCTATGTGTGTTTGCAGGGACAACATTTACCTTCCAAAGCAAAAATCTTGCTTCCCAAAGCGTCCACAATGGTCAACAAGGCCACCTCGTCGGACACGTTGAAGAAGTGGTCTGCCAACGGCTTACTGGAGATGGACGCAATCTCCTTAATGAACTTCTGCACTTCTTCTGCACTTTTGTTCTGACGATTGTAGTCTCCTAAAACCTGGAAAAGATAATAAACAATCTTAATAACATCAGGGCTGAAAATGATTGACTGAGTGACTAACTAACAGCTTTAAATGATGGCTAAATAATTATTAAAGAAACTGTTTGGTACACTTCCCTTGATTGAATTTGAATGATGTTGCTTATTATTTGACTAAATTATCAAACTCTATTATCAATATTTCAATAAACCGCACAGTAAAATGGCTTTAATTCACTATGATTTCTACAGTCTGCATATTCCAGCTTCCTTTTTCATTAATAAATAAGCCTTTCTGGGTTTATTATTAACAGTAAACACAAAACGTCCTCAATCCTGAAATCAGAAGACACAGTCATACATGTTAACATAATCTGTGAAAACAACACAAAGGTAGTTTGTACCCACAGCAATGCCAAACCTCTCGATGTCATCGTCGTCGCAGTCTCCCATGACCTTGCCCAGATTGTGGGAGTCATGTGACTCTCCGTCAGTCACAATCACCATGACTTTCTTCACCCCAGGTCGTGCACCGCGCTCCGGCATGAAGGCCTCTTTCCTGATTGGTGCAATATTTTCAGTCAAAGTTCAGTCAAAAGAACAAAACATCTGGAGTATCTGCTGAAACAGGACCTTAAATAAAGCCTGTTGGGTATTTCACATTCATGACACTGGTGGGAGGTCTTTTTTTATTTCATGCATTTGTGCATTTATATCATGGCACTTGCATTACCCACAATGCAACTCGACCACTGTCAGTTGACTCAGAGACTCGGGTTTGTTATTCTAAAACATTTGTCACATATGCTGTCATACTCCCCGACACCTGTAAACAGACATTGATACATGTCGGACCAATCGGGGAACCTCTTCTCGATATTTCAGAAAAAAATCTGACCAATGACAGCACTGTTTTAACCAAAAGGAGGGAGCTTGTCTGAGTCCCTTGTCCAGCCAACTTGAAACGGCACGCTCCCATTTATATGCCTATTAAACCTTGCCAGACCATGCTGACGTCATCGAGAGCTATGGCCCTGCGTTGCCAGGCTCGCCCAAATGAGGAGGGAGGGGTTAGTGTTGAATACCTGGCAGTATCGATGCCCATGAAAGTCATGGTCTTGAAGCCGGTCTGCTGAGGAAGTTCTTTAACAAATTCCAGCAGATTATGAGTGTTGTCGAACTGGCTCAGGTTGACGCGGTGAGTCACAGTCTCACCATAGGACACTATCCCCACCTGGAAAACACACACATGTTCTTCTAAACGTTATCCTACATTACAATATATTTTTCCTTTTTCTCTCCTTCTATGTTCTCTTCTCTCCCTCCCCTCCCAGACAGTCTGCTGAGGATGCGGTTGGGTCTGGTAGGGTTGATATGACACACTGTTCTTTATACAGAAGGCAGAGGACTTCAGCAGCCATGGAAGATGTGACTTACAACCACTGGGCTCCACAGTGAGAAGACTTTCCAGCGTTTCCCTCTGGAAAACTCCAGCAGCTCCAGGCCAGATCAATGTAACCATAATAAAAACCAACCACCCAATCGAGGAGCGATCCAAGACAAGTGGACAGAAATACACTCAAGGTATAACTTACTAAGGCAAAGGCTAAAATTACTTCGAAGACTGAAAAGGCATCAGTTCATGAAGTCTCCTTTATGAAGGACACATTGCAGTTATTCTCACTGTTGGCACCGTGTGGAAAATTCCATAATGGTGGGCACTTATGTCATCAAACATAATATGAAAAATTGAGTTGGCAGCGAACAGTTTATTCCTTCATTCATCCTTTTTTTCTATGTCTAATCTTATATAACCCATTCATCCATTACCCATTTATGTCTGACACAGAAAGAGTAACTTCCAGCAGGAAACATTATTCTTCTTTTAAAGATCCTTGAAAGTAATTTATTCATGCCGCTGACCTGTGAGAGTTTAGGTCCGATCTCAATGTTCTCGATGAAACGTCGCAGAAACTCGATGATACTTTTCCAGGGGTAGATACTGTTAGATCCATCCAGAACGATCACAATGTCCAGCTCTTTCGCACAGTCTGGAACAAAGCCAAACAAAGTTTGTTTGTTTTCATTTCTCTGCATGCAGCTACAGGAGATTGTTTTTATTTAGTACACATTAAATGTTTTATCTTTAAACTTTTCCAAACGTCTGGTTTCACTAGAATTGCTGATTTCACTCCAAAGAAAGAAATGAGATTATGCAACACATCCAGTCCCCTTTCCTGTTTACTTGTGCCCACAGCAGACACACAACAGTAGCTGCTAATCAAAATGTAATAATGTCGAGCGGCGGTTCCCAACCTGGGGGTCGGGACCCCCACAAGGGGTCACAGGTTAAACTGAAGGGGTCGCAGGAACAGAATTCAATAAATTACTAGATGATTTTGGGTCTTTTAAAGGAATAGTTCAACCTTTAAAGTGCACTCATTAACATGTGATACTTATACTTATAGGATGAGGATAACAATGCGAGGCATCACGTCTTTCACATTGCAGAACTTTTATTTTTCTTACCACTAATCCCATAGACATGTAGTAATTGGCCTAAATTAGACTAATTTCTCCATTCGTTACACATTCACACTTCATGCCGAGACTGTTAGGTTTCCTCGTGTGAGTCATGAAAGCAAACAAAGTCCCCAAAGACCGCGCAAAATCTCTTATAGTTCTTACATTTACTTTAATTTAGCACTTATCAAATCAGTTTAAAACGTGAGACATGTTCATAATTTTTTTGCGGCAGTATATGATCAGTCTGTGTATGTGTTGAATGGCAGAGAACTACTAAAAGAGTCATAGAAAGAGAAATATCACTGTAGACTGTTTACTCTCTGGCTCTCTCTCGGCTGTTTCCTTCCTGGGAAACAGAGTGCAGGCGCAGTAAACTTTCTCCTAACTTGGGCATACAACGCGGCAGAAGGGCTGGGCTGGGCCGGGCCAGAGAGGGATGGGGGTCGCAGACAAGTTTACATTAAGAAGAATGCTCTAATCTCCCTCTTCGCTGAGAGAGGGTGAGTTTGATGTCAGGGTCTTGGGTGGTACTACTGTGAGGAGTAGATCACAATCTCTTATCCCCGACAGGCAATTTGTGCGGAGGCTGTCACGTCCTGCGTAGATGTGCTGTGTCTTTTTTTCCTGTCAGGCAGCGTACCTTGCACGGCCGGTGCCACAGAGTTGAGGATCTGGAAGGATTCGCTGACATTCGCACACACTCCTGAGATGTACTGCTGCCGGCCGCACATGTAGCCATACTGAGGACCACAGGCCTGTGGAGACAGGACACACGCATACAAACAAAATGAGACTGCTTGAGAAAATAGTCACAGACTGGTTAGCTTTCCACCAGTATTAGGTCATGGGTGAGGGGAGGTTCAGGGATACTGAGGACAGAAACCAAGAGGAAAGAACTACTCAAGCTGAAGATTACAAAGAGACTATTAAAAAGCACCATAGATCCCTTCAGACTATACTTCTCCAGAGAGAAAAAGAGAAGAGGGAAACAGAGAAACAGAGCCTGCAAGGAAGTAGGGCTTCAAAATAACCAACAAGAACTGGAAAATTGTATAACATTAATCTCTCAGCATCATTTCCTTAGATTTCCCTCTGTGCTCCACAACCTCAGTGCTTTCCTCACACTGGGAGGGATCCTGGACTAAGAGTCTTCAGCTATGCTAGCAGCTCTGTGAGGCTTTGGCACAGAGTTGCTTTGAGCTAACCGCTAACATCCCGATGCTAATTAGCAAATACTACTGTGCTAACATTTGCTAATTAACAATAAACAAAAGCTATAACTGAGGCTGATGGGAATGTCATCTGAAAGAAATTAGATTATGTAACACATCAAGCCTTCAAAATAAAAGCCCTAAAACAAGCACTGAATCCAGATGCCAGGTTTTTATGAGTTGCATTAATATATATCTATTGGCCACTAGTCTATTGTTTCTGTCATTTTTTAAACTCTGCTAATCTAAATATAATTTTACTGGACTTCATAACCATAAAATGGAATGGGTGTCGCCACCTCCTACATTCATACGTACATTTCGACACACAGCTGATTTACATTCCCAGGACATGAAGCCTCACTGAGAGACATGGGAGGGTCAAGCCCACTGTTTCCATTGAGACCAAAGGTCTAGTGAACATGTACTTGCTGCCCAGTTTCTTGCCAAAAATATGCAAAGCTCAGTCCTCCTTTTGTGTTTGGTATGGAACATGTACTATAAAGCACTTCCATTAACTACAAAGAGCAACTTCCCCCTTACCAGAAATCCCCCGTTGGGATTGGTCACCAGCGTGGTTCCCATGGTCATGTTCTCCTTGACTTCATGTAAGTTGGGAACCGTTGTGTTTTCTAAAGAGAAAAAATATGGACGAATAAACAGAGTGAGACAAACAGAGAGCAGCACAGAGGAAGAACAGCTGGACAAATTCCTCTTCTGTATTTTCCCAAAGGAAGAGAGCCGCTCACCCTCCGTCCTTACTTCCCTCTACACCGAGAAGATGTAATAACCACTGACATGTGGTTAAATATAGCACGTTTCATTAGTTTACCTCAGTGTTTAGCTTATGGCAGCTGATAAAGGATGCAGAGCACAAACCAACATGTTTTGCTGATAAACATCCCAGTTGCAGTGAAGAAGAAATAGAGGATTTGAATCATTAAGCAATCACAACATGTGGCTAAAATTAGCATGTTATTACAAACTCTCCAACTTGGGAATGTTTTTGGATCTGCTTCACTTACCACATACTGTCACAAACTCATTCACATGCCATTTCAATTCTGAATCGAGCTCGTTACCAATCCCCATGAGGGAATTATGATATTTAACCTTTTCTGATTCTCATTAGCAGCCAGGAATGTGCTCTCCTCTGAACTGACACGAAACAGAGCTGTTAGTAGTTAGTGTGACGTAATCTCATTTAATGACTTAAGTCTAGCCCTATTCTTCATCTCTTTGTAAATACAGATTATTGCTTTTATCCGTGTAGCCGTCCCCTATTTCCTGTCTTCATGCTTGAAAATACTGACGAGGAGAACACATAATTAAAAGATCTTTTTTATCACTCTAACACATTTTATTTGATGCTCAGTAAACAGTCATCTCTCATGCACACACAGGGAACTTTGATGTGAAAATAAGTTGTTTTGTAAATTGGCCTTTCTTTATTTCCTAACTATCTGATGTGCTCTCAAGTGCTGTACTTAAGGACAATTTCGAGGTACTTGTACTTCATACTTCTACTCACAATAAATTCACAACCCCGCAGTATATAAATTAATCAAATGAGCTTCATTGGGCTAATCTGAATAATGAGTATTTTTTCACTTGGTACATTAAGTATATTTTGATGCTAATCCTTTTGTACATTTACTTAAGTCAAATTTGGACAGCAGTACTTTCTGAGTATTCACTGTTGTATTGGTACTTTTACTTTAGCAACTCTTTTAGCATACAGACAGACAAATTATAAATATAGCATTTCATGATCATTTTCTCCAGTTACATACACACAACATGCATTCACATCTATACGATCAGTTTATCTAGAAATCCACCACTGCTGAGTAATTGCTCAGCCTGAAAGACTGCAACCTAAATTTTCAATTGTGTGCAGCCGACAGTTTATGTTTATTGTTTGTCATTTGGATTTCATTTTTCCAAACAGAACGTAAACATACTGCAGTGCTGTTTAGCAGATCGTGGATGTTGGGAGTTTCTTGTCAGTATTTCATCACACATAATTGTCCTGGCTTAAAAAACGTTCAATTGTATTGGTCGGACACAACGCTGATTAAGAATTACAACATTACAACCACACAAATGTAACTTCCATTATGGTTTGGCATATCTCTCTCCTGCGCTGCAATCACGCAAACCTAGTATGGAGACAGACTTGGGCGTCGTCAGTGGGCATAGACGGAAATGACTATGTGAAAGACAAGCCGCTTCCTCGTCCAAGGTTGAACTTTGTCAGTTTTGCTTTCAATCAAAATACAGCACTGTTGCTGTTGTCGTCATGTAATCCACTCCCAGTTGTTTGCCGAGTTGTCTGGCTCCGGCGGCCGGGCTCAATCCATTCCCAGTGGATGTTTTCCAGACTAAACTTGCATTGGTGAGATTTAGGCTTTCGCCTGCTTAACTCATCCAAGATAAAAACAAATACAGCACTCTCCTCTGGTGAGTGGACGAGTATTATTTCCAGGCCTGACTGTGAATTATCAGCACTTAAAGCCAATAATTTACCAACAGCGGGAGAACTGTAACTCCTGTTACTTGATAATTCTGAAGTGTCAACAGCGGTGGTTAAAAGTCCTAATTGCTGAGCTGAGAGTTAGTGTGCAGATCTACAGTTCACGGTAGCTCTCAGTCCTCCAATGTGGACACACAGCCAAAAGACTTTGCAGACTGCTGACCGGGAGCTAAGTTGTGTTTATCTGTTTAATTAAGATATAATTGGAAGGATGAAACATTAAAACCTTGTTTATTTACTCTCTTCCTGTTCTGATGGGCCTCACTTCCTCCCCAGTAGGCCCAATCAGATATAAGTCTGAAACATACAGTAATACAAATAAACACAATATATTCGCAAAATCTCCAGATTATTTTCTCAGTTAATGAGGTGACATCCTCAAATGTCTGGTTCTGTCCAATCAACAGTCCAAAATCCAGCCAGAGATTATCTATCTATTTTTAGTCATTATTCAATCAATTGACTAACTTTTTCAGCACACACACACACACAGTATTCTTACTAGGCAGATCCAGTTTGACACACGTGTTGTCCCCCCTCCCCACAGGACACTTGTAGACATCTCCTGTCCGTTTGGATGGTTGGCCCGACAGCGGCGATCCAATCAGAACCCTGAATAAATAAAGAACATTTGGTATTGGTTGGTTAGAAATCCTGCCAACAATCACACACCAGCATCACAGTTTAACGATTGTGATAACAAGCACAATTCAAATATTATTGCAGAAATTAAGCATTGGCAGGCTGGAAGCGGTGACTTTAGATTTGCCTTAATTATACTTAAACATAAACAGAAGGTCAGATTGGCTGAAATGGTTATAGTTGGTTTATGAATCTGTGGCTTTCATTTAATTATGCCTGAAACTATGGCATGAAACTGAAATAACATTGACATAGCTCATTAAAAAAAACACCTTATTATCACCTCATTACATACTAATGCATGAAATGTTGCAGATGTTTGCAGATCGCTACAGTCTTATCAAACATACTTGTATCTGGTCTTTACTGGACATGTATGTTCAGCATACACAAATGCATGCGTGCATGTGTTACATAACCATGTTCATGTGTGAGTTTCATAACATATCGTGTCGCACCGTCAGTAAACTAAAACGAGTCAAGTCGGTCCTCTGCCTTCCTCTGAGCACTCAGGCTTATTAACAGTCCTGACCTCTAATGGGCTCTGGTCCTCTAAAGCCAGACACAAAGTGGAACAACAACAACACGCTCTGCTCGGACCACAGTCAGCTGTGAGAAACACCACAACATTACTGACTTATTTATGATAAACAATCAGGATGAAACATAACTGTTTATTCTTTCAATTCATCTGGAAATGATTCATGACTTCAGATTGTTTCTGTGCTGTGTTAGTTTATCATCTTTCCTAATCCACAAAGTCATCATATTTTATTTAAATCTTATTTTTCTAATCCAAGCTAAATAACGTTATCAGGACTGTGGTCAGTTCACCACTTTGGTCCAAACTGAAGTATCTCAACAAGTATCTGATGGATTGTCATGATCATGATCAAGTTCATGGTGCCCAGAGGATGAATCGGTGATCCCTGAACTTTTCATCTGGTGACACCACCAGGTCATGAAAGCCTTGAGTTATTTAAGTTCTGTGGCTTCCAAATCTCCCAAATTTTAAAGGAATAGTTCAAGATTTTGGGAAATACGATTCATATTTGTCTGTTTAGGCTGTTCTCATTCACTGTTAATACTTATACCTACAAAAAAGTAATGCACGATAATTTGTATACAATCAATGTAGTTAGGAGCCAGGACGTGCAGGGCTGCCGCTAAGGAAGTCAGGTGACATAATGTAGTGTAAAGAGCAACAAAGTCCGTGTGACAAGGAGGTCGTGATGGATGGATCGGTCAAACAAACACAGGACTTTCACCCAGGAGACCGCTGTTTGTGTCTCGTGTGAAACTAAAGTCCTTACTTTTGTATGTAACGCCACCTACGTAAGTTAAGTCACAAATGTATTTATTTTACGGAAAAATCATAGTTTTGTTGCCTGAACAGGTTCTCCACTGCACGCACAGATCACTTGTGTTGCTGGTCATTTGTCGGAAAACACGCAAAACAATGAGAAATAACTTTTGGTAAGATATCATACAATCAGCCGTTGGTCTGTTAAATATGAAGGTTAGCTGTGTCCACCTGCTTCCAGTCCTTATGCCACGCTAAGCTAACCATCCCCTGACAGTAGCATCATATATAACAGAAGAATAGATTACTAGAGTACTATAGAGTACTATCAATATTCTCAAATAACTCTTGCCAAGAAAGCATTAAACATGTCATTTTTTGCTTACTTAATTGGCAGATTTTGTTTGTTTTATAGCCCATTTCTCTAGATTCATCTACATAAACAAGCAATAATTTGTTTGTTTGTTAATTTGTTTCTCCCCCTGAACTGTCTCTGCCACATGTAACACATTTTCTCTGTGCAGTCGATCTACCGTTCAACACTGCTGAGGTGCACTGAAGAGCTAAAGGGTGAGGGTCTGGACGAGACATCTGTGTCTAATCAGTGGTGGTGACTTGCGTGTTAGATCACCTCATGACCGCCATCCTTTTCCCCCATAATGTTCTCCCACATGGACAAACGGAGGGCTACATTACATCTCTGGTTTTATTGCCCCTTCTCCTCATTTCCTTCAAACTTTCTCCATCATAGTTTTATCTCTTTACTTTCTTTCTCCAGTCTGTTCTCGTTCACCGCTCAGATCTCTAACGGCTTTGACCAAGTTGTTTCTCCGGGTTCAACTTCTTCAATCGGGTCCTTATCACTCGGACCTCTTTGGGTAACACTTTGCTCTGAACTGGAACACAATAGTGCTATCTGGAGATGCAACAGAGCTAATGTGTTTTCAGGGAACAGCATGGAGGTTCAGTTACAGCTGGCTCCACTGATTAGCGGCTTGTGAATTATTGTAACTGATCTCATATGAGCTTGATAAGATCGTTACTGCAGAAGACCCACCAGGTACAGCCATGTGGGAAAGAACCAGCGGTGGTGTTGTAATAGGTTGGAGAGAAGCAAACTGGGAAATAAAGACTGGAGTGACTGAGGGAGAGATGTAGACACAGAGCCAATAACCAAACTCTAATAGCCTTTAACAAGGTTTTTAAAAATGTGCTCCCAGAACATTTTAGCAAGGAGCCACGGATGCTTGGTTTCAGTGTATTTACAGGCTGAGTATGTGGATACTCTGGTGCAGACCTTTACGGTTAACAGCTATAGTAAAGGCAAGGAGCCTCATTATAGCAGCAGCTGGTGTGCTCTCCTTCACTTAGTTTTACAGCTTCATGAAGGATTTTTTTTCGCTTTTGTTAATGTTGAGGATTTGAATTAAACTGAACTTGGTATAATAAAATGTTCTTATGCAGAAACCTTTTTGGCCAGGCCTCTCCAAAACAACACTTGGGGGATTTTCTGGTAAAGAATCATGAGGACCACCTGAGCAGAGAAACCAGTTTGTGAACAAACAGAAAAGAGTCAATACTGCTTGTTAGACAACTTCATCTGCACACGGTAGCCAAGTTTACATCAAAATGTAATGCAAAGTTCAACCAAATTTCCAGAAAATACTCAAAAGAAAATACAAATGAATGTGCGTTTCTGTCCGCTACCATCATACAAATATTAGGAGTTGTGTGCATTTGATTTCACTCTATCCTAATTAAGATTGTGCTTCATATGATCGCATTCAAGTCAGACTTCACTTGAATTATAATGGAAATGCTACAAGGTCCGATCGAACATCATGGTAAATTGCCCTCATATGGCGCACGTCTGAAATGGGAGACGAGGAGGAAATTGTGTAGTGGTGAAAGATGATGAATGTTGATGACACTCACCATTTCCCCTCGCTGTTCTCAAACTGCTGGACAGTGTAGCCAAACATGTCCTCCAGTGGACCACTGAATGACAAGCCATTTTTCTGGTCCACGTTGAAGGACAGCACACACGGCAGCAGCACTGCAGGGACGAAGGCAAAGGAAAGGTCACACAGGAAGCCAGAGACTGTTGTTTAATGAACAAATGAGGTTATCGAGACCGGCATTGGTTACTGCACTACTCCGGGGAGAGTTTAGATGAAATAATCCAATCCTAAAATAAGAGACTTGTGTATTAATTTTCTTATATAAGAAAGCAAGGTCAGCATGAACAAACATTTTCAATAAATATTTAAAGAACGTTCAAGATGAAACCCGGAAATGAAAATTAAACAAGTAATAGAATAACTTAATACATAATAAACATTCTGGTAATTTAGCCAGAATATTTTCATAATTCTAATAATAATATCAAAATGATATAGAGATGGTACACTTTGCTCTACTGTATGAGGGATGAACTGTGTGAACATATCCCACGCACAGAAACAGAGTCATTTTGGAGGACACTGGAGGAATTTCAAACATCAATGTGAAGTACTTTGGTCCGAGTCGAGTCTGACATGCAGGACAATGGCTTCTTCTCTGCACTGAGCGCCGTCTGCGTCCGTCTGTCACTGAGCTGAGTATATATCACAGAGGCTCTATATAAATCCATCCACGTCTCATTGTGCCTGCACTACAATGACACTCTTTATATCTACTGTGCCAGGGAATTCCTCCGGTACAATTTATTCAATTTGTGAGGGAGTGCAGAGGAGTAGATGGACAGCGGGACTAAAAAAAGGACAAGCAGACACATACCACATACATGGAGACACATATAAAAAAGCAGCTATTTGTTTGATGACGATGCTCTGTAGCTAATGTGTGTGACCCCAAAGTCAAGAGAGAGCTACCATATGGAGTCTGGATTGTGCCGCCAAAGTAATTCAGAGACTTTTCAGCCACGCAAGCGGTGCAGCTCAAGGACGCTGATTGTTCGGTGAGTTTTAAATATGTCCACACATATTGGTTGGATTGCGCTGACATTTTGTGCAGGCATTCATGGTCCCCAGAGGATGAATCCTAACAGCTTTTGATTTGACTTTTCCTCTAGCACCACCATGTGAATGACATTTCTGGTTTTGAGTGAAAAATAAAACGACTCGTTTGCCATGAAATTTGATACGCACATTCATGGCCTTCTCAGGATGAACTGTAATAACTTTGGTGATCCTTTAACTTTTCACCTAGAGCCGTCATCAAGTCAAAATATTTGTAAAAAGGCCGTGGTTAATAACCAAATACCTGCACAACTAACGGCATTCTCATCAGCCTCCCACCATGTGGTGTTGTCCCTCGTCTCGTTTTAAAAGGATTTGCTTGGTAGAGGAAAGACAGGGAGAGCAATAGAAACAAGGATCAGTGCTTGTAGGCCGTAACTCAAGGAGGCTTAGATGCATGAATTACTGTACATGCAATCAGGTCTGTTACCAGCCCCTCTCATTGCTTTCTTATAAACAGAGGACTTAAAAAAGCATACTGCTGCCAGTCAACATCCAGTTGATCGGATAGATGTTGTACAAGAGTCGGCTTTTTACATTCCCCTCTGGTAGAGAGAGATGGACAGAGAGAGAGAGAGAGAGAGAGAGAGAGAGAGAGAGAGAGAGATAGAGAGAGAGAGACGGACATGCAGAGTCATACTGGAATCCCAGCCAAGAAATATTATCCCCCTGCTTTGTCCTTCGCTCACTTCCTCTGTTGCCTCTCTCCATCTCTCAGAGAAGCTCCATTTCCTGTTCCAATTAACATGATTATAGACATTCCCTCAAATCCACAGGTGCGCACACACACACGCACACACAACTAATTTAGCTGGTTTAAGATGGCTTCGGGCCAACCAGGCCTTTACCATTTATCACAGAATGAACTCAAGTAGAGTTCAGACTGACGCTGGCCTGAGCTGTAAATTACACAGAAGCGTCCTCTGTCAGTTAGCAGTCTTTTGTGTATTCCAATCTCATTTAAGCTTTTGTTGTCTCCTCTCGCTGCTCTGCTCAAATCACAACCAGTGAGTTATGTAACTATTTTCGTGAGCTGGGCGAACATCTGCCCTGGAAAACCAATAAGAGGGCTTCTCACTTTGTGGATGGAAATGGCCTCATGAGCCTCTGAGGTATTGGCATATAAAACTGTCCATCACTGTCTGGAGGGTTCATCTTGTGCTCTATTACACATGGTGAGCAGAGCAGAAGGAGTTGTTCAGCCATGCTAGCAGCATGGTACTATGTCGGCCCACCACTTTGGTCCAGACTGAAATACAGCTATTGGATGGATTGCAATGGAATTTTCTTCCAGTCAGGATGAATTGGGAGAATTTTGACTATTTTGTCAACACCATGAGGTCCAAATTGTAATATGCCAGTACTTATATCATAAGACTGTATATAAGTGTGGACGTAGTCACGTGACATCCGGTATTGGTTTGCGGACTACTGTATTGAAGCCTTGAGTTCAGCATCTCAGCCATTGCCATTTTGGGTTGTTGTTTTTGTTTTGTTTTTTTGCAACCGGAAGTGACACAAGAGGGTGGAGCTAAGTACAACCAAACGCTGAATAGGACATTTGTAAGTGCACCAAAATGTTACAGTTGACTCTCATTTTACTCTGAATTTGACCATAGTTTACCCAATGAACATTATGTTGTATTGAAGAAGACATAAACTGTGCAATTGAGACCATAAACTCATGTTTACAATGTTTATTGAGGTAATAAATCAAGTAAGAAGTAGGTTCATTTTCTCATAGACTTCTATACAATCAGACTACTTTCTGCAACCAGAGGAGTCGCCCCCTGCTGACTATTACAAAGAATGCAAGTATAAAGCAAATAATTACATCCCCATCAGCCTAAGCTGTTTTTTGTGTTAAGTTGTAATTATGTTAGCATGCTAACTTGCTAAACTGAGATGGAGAACATATTTAACATTATAACTGCTGATGATCAGCATGTTAGCATTTTCCCTGTGAGCATTTCAACATGTTGATTTTAGCTTTTTGCTCAAAGCATCACATGTGGTTTAGCACAGCCTCACAGAGCAGCATGGCTGTCGATGTGTTTCAACAGAAAAAGGAGACTGGTTGATGAAATACAGTCCATGTATGTCATTGTTTATCATAACAAAAATCTCCTTTTTGCTGACCAGAAAAATCTAATCTAAATTGGCTGAAATATCACAGCCCTGAGACTACAGCAGGCGACCAATGAACGGGTCTGTTTTTGGTCAAGCTCCATGTGGTCCTGATTGCTTCTGGCAGTCTGTCAGCCACACTAACCCACAATGAAACCCTGCTCCCCTCGCGGCTACACTTCTCAAAAACCAAAACGACTCCATTTCAGCATCTAACAATCCAGCAAGAAATCAAACTAAGTAGCCAAAGTCAGATCTCTCTGATACAGCCGGGGCAGAAAGCAGCAAAGATCAGCACCTGTTGGCCTGTGAGACATCAAACCGGCTATAAAAATGACCCAGAGTCAGCACCTGTAAGCTTCAAAGCCTCGTTCAGCCACAGTAAAACCACACGCCCGACCGGCACCTGCTGATCTGTAACATATCTAACCAACTATAATCCGCTTTAAAGCTCAACGCAAATCAGCACCTGTAGGCAACAAAGTCATTAAGTAACCGTGAAACTCAACCTTAATCAGTTGCAGTAAGACACACGTGTCAGTTGTAAAGTTAATCCAAGACAGACACTCAAAACAAATCCTCTAAATGTAAAGAAAGCAGACGGTGTTAAAGACACGTCAGTCTGAGTGAGAGAATTAATGTTTTTGTGATGGTGATGTCAGACCCTGAAAGAAAATAAAGCCAAGGCTTTGGGTGGGACCTGGACCTTTACCATGTGCTGGTGTGTAACAACAGACACTACTGGCAAAAGAGACAAGCTTCATATTTTGGAATGGGCAGGTTATAAAACTGAAATATTTCCAGATTTCAGACTTTGTTCTTTTATCAGTTTTTCTTTTCCACTGCCCTTCTTTTCTCAGCTTTCCCGTCTTACTTTCCCATAATTCTACTCTGACTGTCTATTTTTCAGCCAATTTTCTTCTTGTTTGTTGCTCCAACAGTATAAACACTTTCCTCTCTAATCACTTCATTATCAGTCATGAGCTTAACTTCTGACAGGTGTTTAGCTCTGCTGACTCTTACTTAATTGTCTTTTCAGTTGCTGCTTATTTCTTGGCAAATTTAAAGTATGTGGGTGTGCGGTGGACACAAGGGGTCATGGTTGTAGGCGTGTTGGAGTTTTCATATGCACGGGGAAACACAAGGGGCAAAATTCAGAGTTTTATTGCTAATGTCTGCAGACAGAGAAAGATATAGTTTAATTAGACAAGCTTCACCATGATTAGAAACAAGACTATAAGTCTGCAGCCATACAGTGGTGCTTTAACCTGAATTCTAACAAAGCAAGCTAACATGCTCATAATGTCAACAACCTGGGAACCATTTCACAAATGGTGCCAGCATATCATTTCACAAATAAATGTCAAACAAAAAAATGGAAGATAAATTCACCAGTCCTACATTCCTCTCACATGCTCATGCACGGGTCGCAAGTCTGGTGTTTCTTTTGATTCGTTAATGTGTCAGAAATAACGCTGGAGGAGCTTGCATGTTGCAAATTTGGTGAAACTTGCCCCTGATGTTTTGGCTGGCACTGAAAAGATTTGACCCGATGACGTTGTTAGATAAGAAGGTAGTTCCCCAAAGTTATTACATTAACATGAATGTCAACTGATTGACAAAGTCAGTTGGGTTCATCCTCTGGGGATCATGAAATGATGCTAATCGAAGAAGATTGTTAAAAAACTTTGACCTGGCACAAAAGGGAAAGTAAAGGTCTCATTAAGGACAGTTTGTTTCATCCTGGGGAACATGAACATGTGTTCAAAATGTCGTGGCAGTTACTGAGATATTTAAGACATCGCCATTGAGCACCAAAAATCATCTCCTTTAACTCAGCTCGCAATTCAATCTGCATCCTCTCCTCCACCCATTCATTAATTAATACTCGTCCCATCCCTCTCTCCCT